ATATATTTTTATATATATAAAAAACTCATTATGTTTTGAATGTGAAACACCAATTAATTTTATCTTTCATCTTTGATTCCACCCCATTGTAGGAAACAGCTTAACCAAGCTTGCATGCTAATTATTCCTCAGACGCAAGCATATAGGCATTTCATACTTTGCCTAGTGAAAGGGCTAACCCTCCTTGACACATTCACGACTAGACCAGTGATTCTGAAGCAACATCCTGACCCTTAATACTGTCAGTTTCAAGCTATCAAGCTGAAAAATCCTTGATAAGGTGAGAAGATGTCACCGCGAATCAGTTAGATGATGTGCCTAGAGTTCTGCAATACCATTTTCTAAAGTTTTTTATGCACCATTGATTGACAGAAAAAAAATCCGTTTTTCTTTGCTTTCCAAGTCGCTCTGTGCAATGACTGACTCTTTGATACTGTCACTTTTTAAAAGTAAACCATACAAGCCCTCATATTTCAACTTCAAGGGGGCTTATGTCCGTTCTTCGTTTTCCACCTTCAAAGGCTTAAAAAAATTGTGTTGTCATAGATTCATGCGCAAGTGCTCTGGTCGTTTGGAAATCATGGGAAAAGCTTGTTTTTTATACGGCCCAGAGTTTGGTTGCCGGATTGGAAGTGGTGCTGAGGCCTCTCCACAGACTGTCACATCCATTTGTTCTATTCCACTTGTCTCCATTGGATATTCCACAGGTGTCTGAGTATTTGATGCGCTGGCAGAAGCACCTCTTCCCCAGAATTCCCCAGGGGAAAACTTTACAGGGCTTTAAAACAAGAAATATAAAAATCAGAGATGAAGATACACACAGCACCAAGGTATGTCCTTTACTCTGCAGGAAGCTGAACTCAAATGCCTATTGAGAAGCGTTTATCATTCTTCCTTCCGCTTCCAGAAGTTTGACAAAGTTTCCATGTCTAGCTTCTACCACGGTCTCTTGTAAAGTAAAATTCTCTCATTTGAGTAGTGAGGATATATTTCTAGATGATTGCAGAAGGCATTTTCTGTACTAACATGATTCTTTAGCGGCACATAAGTACTTAGGATGTTCTGAAACAGTTCTAGAGGAATGGTGTACCAAAGTCACCAGACTGTGAGGCTGTATCAGTGTTGAACAGCAAGCAAATTAGTACTTCTTGTGCTGCCAAACACCATAGATTTGCCTCTCATAACGTGGTTTGTAAGACAGGATCGATGCTGCACTTCTAATGGAAGTGATGGGCTTACTGAGAAGAAAGACCACAATTTTTTATTTCTAGTGCAGATCTATTTCAACTACTTGCCAAAAAGTGTATTACAAAAAAAAAAAAAAAGAAAGAAAAAAAAAAAACAAAAAAAAGATACCTGACTGGTGTCCTAGGGCTACCTATGAATCTGCGAGGTGATCGAATTTTTGGTTCGAAAGAAAATTTCTCTTTTACGCTTTCAAGTACAGATGGAGCCACGTACGTAAAACCCTGCAAAACAGGAATGAATGCACTGTAACTTACAGGCAAGATTTACATTTATCATCACTTGTGCAGTTATGATTGGCATGAAATAGTAAATGAAGATTATTAAAAGGACAGTAAATGTAGACATATGAACTTCTACTCACTTCCTGAAGCGAACAGCGGGACTTCAGGGAGTTCCTCACCCGTGTGCCTGCACACCCCAGATATTTCTGCTCAGGTCGCAGATTCCCACAGGCATGCTCAATTTAATTAATTTTGGTCTACAGAATGGACATTGTTCTCTCTGCATGACTGTGAAAGCAATCCCATGTCCAGGGTTCATAATGCAGCTATGAATGAGAACGCTGACATTTCAGAAAGTAAGCAACGTTTGTTGGCTGTTCTATCTATATAAAGAAAACGTCAGCACTAATCAAACCAAGTATTTTCAAAGCCCTTAAACATTTTGAACCTGTTGCAGGATGTGTGTTTAAAATGATGATAGTTTGCTCCAAGTATCGGGGGGTAAGATTCAATAGAACTAATTTACCTGAAATGCCCTACTGTTTCCAAGTAACACAACATACCTCTCCAGTTACCCGCTCGTCCCTAGCTCACTTACCAGAAAGACCTGGTTGGCACTTTCACTGAGAGTAGAGTCATCTGGGCTATCAACAGGTGTCTGACGTGTAAACTTTGAATCAAACTGGCTCACATCCTCTTCAGATTGCTTTGCAAAAACAAAATGGTTAAGGGTTTACATTACAGATATCAACCAAATGGCTTAGCGGTGATCAGTGTAGCCTCTGGGTGGAGTTCATTCCATAGGTTTTTGGCAGAGCTCTGCTGTAGTAAAACCCTGGAGTGGTGTCGGAATCCTGTCGCTGCCAGTGGGAGGTCACTATGGGCACTGACACTGAGAAATAAAGGCAAGGGGGAGGGGCAAAAATTATGGATCAAAAAGGAACACAAATTAAAAAGATGCCTTTAAAAAAAAAAATCTCAAATTACAAACAAAAACTTTTAGAAATACAATGCCAGTTTCTTGCAAGTTTAGCCCTCGTCACAACCAGCATAGAACAGTTGCAACTATTAGTTTTTGGAAGGCTCGCCACATCATTTCATCCCGTTTTTGCAGATACAGAAGTGTTTATATGTGAGGGACAGATGACAGCTCTGGAATGAGTGACTAAGAACATTGTTTAATTCAGCCAAAGAACAGCAGACATAATTCCAGGATCCCTGCTCTCATTCATAAGTGCCACTGAAAAGGCAGCACGTATTCATTTGTGCAGGCCTTCATGCAACCATGGAAGCCCATTTTCAAAAGCCACCTGGTTTGTACAAGTAACTTTCATAAACTTTGCTAATAACAGAAAAACCCCAAACTATCTTCAGTTAATTTGTTTGGAATTATCAGCCTTGTGTCATTCTGAATTTCATTCAAAATGGTGAGGGGAAAAAAGGTCTGGAGTCCCCACGCTGTGGTATGCTCAGCATCAGTGATGCCTAAGTCAGTTTAAAGTGAGATTTTGAGTAGTTGGGAACTTTCGGGGTGGCAATATCCACTGCTGCTGTAGCTAATTGTACCCAAAGGGGAAAAAAAAGACAGACACCCTACACCATCAAAATATAAGATAGGATAATAGAGGCTAATTCATCGCATCACTGGTTTGAAGTAAACTTTAATTACTGCCTATAATGCACAAGATGCGTTGTAAATATTAATAAGCAAACATACAAAATTCTTAATGAGGTGACTTAATTTACTTTTGTTTAGCAACTATTTATCATCTTAGTTTTGACTAAGTGCTGACTTACTGTATAACGTTTAGAAGCAGAAATTCAGAGATAATGGCACTTGCAAGTCTGTTTAACCTACAGCTTAGAAGCAGGAGGAATTAAAACTGAAGCAGAACCTTCTTCCTCCAGGAGACTGAACAGGATAAATTAGCTCTTAGCCGATTTTTGCCACCTTCTCACATAAAAAAGCAAGATCCTACTCCAGTGACAGATAAATACCATGACTACAGAGTAATAAGACAGAACAGCATGCTCATGACAGCCCGTACGTCATACTGTGTGGAGACTTAAATGAAAGAGGTTTTTTTAAACATTGATATAGCATCAGTTCTCAGGGGGAAAAAAAAAAATCCGCATCAGGTAGTGTCTCTTTAATTTGACAACAATGAATCTGAGAACCAGTAACCTAAGTTGATGCATTTAACTATTTAAAGTACCAGAAATCAACGGCACTCCAGTTTGCAAGAGTGAGCGTTTCTAAGTTTTAGATTCCACATTAAGACCTTTCCTAAAGGCATACAAGGAATATCGACGCATTCTGAGTACATACCAATAAGGGTTTAAAAGGAGGTTCCACCTTTCGTGCCAACAGCTCATCCCAGTTAATGTGTCTGAAGAACGGGTGAGCCTACAAGAGTTAGCAATAGCACACAGTCATAATCCATCTTCTGGGTATACATCACAGAAATTTAAGAATTAATAAGCATGTTCTTTTCAGACCCTCTCTGTGCTGTCTGTCTTTCCAAAATCCCATATGTGTCTAGTGTAATATATTCTGCAGCACTACATCAGAGTAGTTGGAAGAGCTGAAAATAGATACCATACCCTCAAGTTAGACAACATATGGCCCTATCATGTTTTCCTTGAAAGTATTAGAAAAAGTCAGTTGACGTGCAAAGTACCTCTACATTTTACAACTTTAAAAGTTAGATATCTCAAAATAATGACAAAACTATTAATGACAAATGATCAGAACTATGAACTAAGAGGACTCTCCAGTATATTGTTAATCTCACCACAAAAAAGTCAGGCTGGAAGCAATAAGAACTAGGCCTCTGCCTTACCTTTTAACTATGCAACACTAAATGCAAACTAACGACACTTTTCCCTTGAAAGAGCTGCACGAAATGCAAGGGATAGCAGGTTTTTCATCAGACTGCTAGAGTATCATTGCTCTTACATTGTTGACTGTACAATTAGCATTATGCAACTAGTAGAAAAGATCTACTGGAGACAGAGCTAAAGAATAAAAGTTATTTGCCAAATCTCAAATTATCAAATAGGTACACAGCTGCTTTCATTAAGCTTTAAAGCATTCAAATTTTGCTCAGTTGTCACGTGTGGCTGCCTTTTTGCTCATTACACTTCAAGGCAGACATACTCTCCCTTCCCTGATGTACCCCCAAAGCTGTTTTCAATGAGGTAATTTAAGAATTCTTGAGTTAAGCGAAAGTTACCTGAACTTCTCCAGCATCTCCAGGACCAGCTCCTAGACGTGAGGCAGCGTTTCTTTTTAGCAGCTTAAGGAGAAATAACATCGAAAAATTAGTTATGCCGTTATGACTAGACTAGTTCTGACATGAATCATCACTTGAACGAATACCATGCAGAACGGATACAGAACAATCAGGAAATCTGCATTCATTAGAAAAGAATTGTATTTTCAAGGAAAATCGCTTTCTGCACCACGCAAAAACAAGACTGACTTCTTAGTAGTAGCACAACCATGGACTGAATAGCCATAGCGGTATCATTGTATTTCTATTTTCTACATACACACGTAGTACTGACATTCATTAAAATTCTACCTTTTTAAGCAGATCTCTGGCTTCTTGTGTGAGGTAGGGAGGCAAGTTGAGTTTACACTTGAGAATCTTGTCAATTGTTTTCTTTCTGTTCTCCCCAGTGAAAGGAGGCTAGAAAGCACCATTGTAATGGGAGGAAAAACAGGACTTGTTCAGGTCTCTTATTTGTGTACACAGAACTCACTTCAGTCATTTATAAAGCAGATAAAATTACTGCAAATGGGACTTCCAAATAACTGGATGAGAGCAGCTCACGACTGTAGTCAACGTAAGTGTAGCCGTATTTTAGTTACATTTCTTACTTGCAGTTTGTATATATACAAATGTATACGTATTTATACATGCATCTGAATTAGAATACAGGTAACTACAAAAGCTACGAGGAGAAATACATGCAATTATAACTGTGCACCTACTGCTCCAGTCAGCATGTCATACATTAATGCCCCCAAACTCCACCAGTCCACAGCACGATTATGCCCACTCCTCATCAAGATTTCAGGGGCCCTATAATCAGAAAAATCGAAAATATGAAAGTATTTTAACAAGCGTAATACTAATTCTGACTACTAGTTTTCAAACAAAACCACGTTTATCAAGTAAAATTTCCATGACTGAACATATGAACCATCCGTTAAAAAAGGCAAAATTTAGCCATTACCCCCAGACTAGAGTAATACTTTTCTATTTCATCATGCAGCTCACATGTATTCAATTGTTCCACAGAACGTGTGTGTGACTGTTCCATCGTGAATAGATTCTTTACATAATCCGAAGTCAGTCAATTTTACGTGACCTGAAATTAAATACATAAAAATTAAGACTTGCCAGAATTCTGACATTTGTATAAGTAACGTTAAAAAAATAGGAATTTTTAACACGGATATGTAATAACTCTGAACTACTTCCAGATACCTTCAATGGTCTGACAAAGCAATACAGCTATAAAACCGAATGAGGTAATCACACTTACAGATAAAACCTCTGCATTATACCTGCAGAAGAAAGTGTTGCCACTTGGTGAAGAGAAACATGATAAACTAATTCACATATAGACAAACGTATTTAAAGGTTGCAGAGTGTTATTCAGATAAGAAAGTAGGCTGTCGAATTTTACCGCTTCCTTCAAAGTTCAGAGAACAACCTTCAACAAATTGTAAAGTGCCCTGAATTCAGTACAAGGACTTAGACTAAGTAAATAAGTTGTTTAAGATAACATGAAATACCGGATGGTACAGGTTGCCAGACTAATCGGTGTCACATAGTCCATGTAATAGTGCATTCGGGAATTGCTACTACTGTCACGCAAAGTGTCAACCGCTAGATAAGTCATTTCAGCTACAGATGATTTGGCATCCTACCTAAACTGCCTTTCCTAACTAACATCTTCAGCTGTCCCCATTACTAAAATGTCACTGATGCTACACTGAAGACACAGATCTTGATGTACTTTACAGTGACCCAGTAGAAGAAAAATTTCAAAGCTGCAGAAATAGCAAGTCAACCATTCAAAAAAATGCCCGTGCCTATACACATGGAACATGGAGCTTGCTGTGGCCTCTTAAAGCCAAAGAAGCTGTGTTTAAGGCCAAGCAATTAACTTTGGCAATTCTTCAATTATACCAAGAGTGATAACGAACATGCCATTGTTCTAAGGACATTCTCGTAAGAGTGAATTGTTGTGACCTTTAAAGGATTGTTTTCAAATGACTGGCAACGTAACTGTTACTGTATTTCTACCTTGATGATTAAGCATGATATTTTCGGGCTTCAAATCACGGTAGATGATTCCTTTTTGATGCAAGTGCCCCAGTGCCATTGAGATTTCTGCCAAGTAAAAGCTGAAAGGAAACATATGTCACAAAATTAGACATACTCAATCATGCAAAGCATCTTAAGCACCAAGACTATTAGTACATAGCAACGGTTCCTTGAAAGTATCCTTAGAAGCGTATGAGAGAATAAATGAGAGAAAACAATGATGCCTTTGAGGTTGGTTTGCCAGAAGGCATACAGGCTGCAAGATGAACTACAAAATTATGCCATTAGCATTAGGTTTACCTGTTCGGTAGCTATCTTATCATGGATATATTTGGAGGAATCGGAATTTAGCAGTTAGTGGTTAAAATGTGCTTCAATCTGTATTACCACATCTAAATGGCAAAGTTGAAGGGAAAAAAAAAAAAAATGAAGCTAAGACGTAACTGGCAGCACCCAAAGCGCTATCTGCGGAATAGCAGTACAGCCCCATATATACATCAAAGCTTTTTGGCTTTAGCGGCATGCACTGCAGGAAGATACAACTGTATTCAGATGTATGAAGCCTAATCAATAAGGGATAATTTCAGCTTGTTAATATGTAAAATACCACTACTCAAAAGGCTTTTTCTCCTTCATTAGCATAATTATCACTTCACACATCTGATCCTTAGAATACAGCCATTACAGTGACTTGGAAATTCTGTAACTGACTGGTAAAATTGTGCGTGGATCAAGAACAAAAAAAAAAAAAAAAAAAAAAAAATTGCATTTCCAGCAAGTCTTTCAGAGTCTTTCCTCCAACACCCCAAACACCTCCTTTACCACAACCCTGTGTAATACAGCCTCACTCAGCAACCAGCAATGGACCCTCCACTGCAGTAAGACTGGCATGAACAGGTAAGTACAGAACGCATACGTCTTCCCAAAACCCAGTTAACTGCTCTTTTCACTAGACTAAGGAATGAATGAGTGGTTACAGTTTTTCAAGTCAGAATATACCATTTCAGCACCTGGGGAAAAAAAACCCCAAACCTATTAATTTACCAAAATCATTTCACTTACCAAGCTGTGTCTTCCATAAATATCCCTTCTCTCTCTAACTGCATAAATAGTTCTCCTCCTGTCAAGAGAAAAATGAGATTATACTCTATTAAAGTGCATTCTATCATTTTGAGTCAGTCAAAAGTCTATTTTCTAGAAAAACCTGCAAGCAACAGGTGTTCCGTCCTGCTCCACAGAAAGCTGTTTCACAAAAAACAACTGACAATTTGCTATTCTGTTATTCTCAGAATTCTATCAATTAAAAAAATGCCAAAAGAAATCAAAACAGCACGCTGAAAAAAAATAACAGCGTTTCTGTCCCTGTTTTTTCCTACTGTTATAACTTGAGCAAATTGCTTCTAATCTGTGTCTGTTTCTATCTGTGAAATAAAGGTAACACTTTCTTGTTTCACAAAGAACCTGCAAGGACTAAAATCTCAGGTACTCCGTATGACCACATAGGATCTAAGTGTAACATAAAGGAATTACAAGCCTGATGGAAGAAAAGGTATTATTAAAAATCTTCCTCTCCTGTACTGTCATGAAAAGCAACTATTTTATGTTTCATTCATCTTTATTTTATTGCATTAGAAGGTTTATTTATGTTACTCTATGTATTCTTAATGCTAACTTCTTTTACATTTTTAAGACACCATGCCAATAGTTAGCTGGCTTTTTATGAGCAGAGGAAGAAATCCAAATTCTCCATTACGTAAGATAGCAAGAAGCAGGTAACAGCATTTCATATACTGACCACTGAGATACTCAAGGATGAGGTAGAGTTTTCCACCAGTCTGAAAGGCATAAATTAAGTCTACGATGAAGGGATGTTTCACTTCCTCCAGTATATTCCGCTCTGCTTTTGTATGAGCTGTATCCTTTGCATTCCTTACAATCATTGCCTACAAAAAGCAGAGAGATGTGAGCACAGCAACATGCTAAACGAGGCAGACTTTTGTATTTCATTCCCTTCCGAGTTTACTGAATCACAACAGTACGTATGATTCAACAACATAATAAAAAAGAAAACTTCACCATGATATATACATAACATGACAGGTTTCCTTGCAGAAGTTTAATTCTTTATTTCATAGAATCATACAATAAGGTAGGTTGGAAGGAACCTCCTGAGCTATTTAAATTAGCTGCTAAGAACTACACAGACAGAACAATTTTATTAAAGACTAATTATAATTCCAACTGTACAGGGATAACAACTGTATATATTGCAGACAAAGTTTAATTTTAGGTATATTATATAATTAGATATATAAATATATCTAGATAGATATATAATTAGATAATTGTAACAGCTAAAGGGAGGGATAGATTTTTTTAGATCCAGACAGCAGTGAAACGTGAACATTCGGGTTACCTTTTTAAGAACTTTCATGGCAAATATCTTCCCGGTGTTTGCTCCAGTTACTTTTCGTACTTGAAACACCTATGCAACACCAACACAAAAGCAATCACGTATTATGACCGCATTAGACGTCCTGAGTTAAAACCAAAGTTCTGCGAAAGAGAGATGAGATCACCTACAAACTGCAGCGCTGCCTGAAGGGGCAGAGTTAGGGATTGGAACCAGAACAAGTTTGGGACATTTTCTACTGCCGCCAGCTGGTGAGGCTCTGCCAGCGACCTCGGTCCCACGACACCAACCTTGGTGGCCCTGAGGTTCCCTTCTGGTAGAACGAACTTTTCAGAAAACAGGATGGGAAGATTAGACCTGGCCAAAGGCAGCACGCAAGCACTTTAACCGCCTTCAGCGTAATGCATTTACTTCCGTAGAAAAGAGTTCCTTACCTTTCCATAGCCACCTTTGCCAAGTACGCGTAGTAACTCAAAGCACTCTGGTCGGATCTTTTCTGGACCTCTGTTTACACTAGTTTCTGAAATCTCAAATTTTTCACAATGTTCCAAGCCACTGGATAAAACCGAAACAAGAATATAAGACTACCTGATACTCAAAAATGATCAAATGAAAGTAAGCAAGCAAACTACTTTCTGAAAAGCACACAGTATCTATCTGACATAACTGACTGACTGCTTTGGAGATCTGGAGAATTCTCAGCATCGGAAATTTTATTTAGGTGTGTGCAAAGCAGTAAGTTGCAACTTGCACAGAAAAGATCACCTGCAAATTTTGGGGATTTACAGCATCAAGATTTCCTTCAGATTCCTTCATTTTTATGCATAATAAATCTCTGTATTACACCAGAATTAAATTTAAAAGACCGAAGCCACAAACTGACTTAGGTACTCCTAGAAGACCTCAAGTAAAAGCAAGGCTATAAGGTGTGTTTAAGTTTCAAATCACATTCAGCAGCCCCAACAGTCATGGTAAGACTTCTATAACACAAATACCTTGCAGAAAAAGATGTAACAAAAAGTCTCACAACTCTGAACATGCCACAAAAGACGACTGAACCGTAATTTAATGATGCTTCCAAATTATGCTACAGTTCTGCAAAAGACTAACAGATTGATCCTGCGAAAGTAAATGTAACTGAACTGTTTTAACTGTCGCTGCTTTCTTCTCACAACATGGTATGCTGAAACAATCTGGAAATCTGTAAATGAAGTAATGCTAAAGGTAGCTGCCTCCTGAACTTCAAATCAGAACTTCTGAATTCTCATCTGCTTCAGGCTGCTATGCAAATCTGCAACTGGAGCCTTTATAAAATGAACAGAACATACAATGCTCTGCGCACAATGCATTACATTGCTCTTATAAATATTATTCAAGTACAATAGATAATGTTAGGAGAAACAAGGATTAAAAGACAACAGCAAGTTTTGCCAGAATTTTTTTTTATTATTATTATTATATTTCAAGATACAATTCACAAATTTTAATGTGAAGAAATAGCGAAGCAACTAGAAACAGCTCAAAGTTGAACAAGAATGACAAAATTTTCTATTTAACTTAACAATGTAACAAAATTAGAAGTTTTATGTAGTTGGCATGAATGGTACAGAACATTTTCTAGCAGCAACTTACAGGTCATATTGGCCAACTCCTCCATGGTCCATGCTCTCACTTAATTGACCCTGGGGATGGGAGGGGTAGAAGGAAGATTAATTATAATAAAAGAAGAAAAAGCAGTGTTAAAGATAAATGCGCTGATGTGTTTTACAACTTCCTAAATTACATCTATAATTATAATTTATGTTATATAATTAAATAAGCCTAAAGGTCAGGAATAATAAATGATCAGCAGAAGATAAGAAAGCTACAAAATTCTGTGCAAGATTTGCAATACTTCCACATATCTCAAACGGTGACACACGGATCCACTGTTTTACCTGACTGCATCGTTACTCAATAAATATTAGAGGTAACAATTTCACCCACACCCCCCAAGTGAATTTGGAAAATGTTAAGGTACTGCTTTTTTTATTTTTTTTTACAGTTGCTCTTACATATGAATTTTTAAATCCTATTACAGCATTATGCAAATTAGAACAACAGTAAAGATTATGTGAATAGATGAACTGGGATTCATACGCCCTAGGAACAAATAATCTATTCAGAAGGTTTTATTATTCTATATCGACAATAATCAAACCCCAACAGTAATAAAAGAATTAAGCTTTACTCTGGTGTTAAATAGCTTTTCTGACCAATAATCATTCAGAGGGATTAATGCATGCAAATATTACTAAAGAAGGCTCATGCACTTCATCACTTCAACAGTCGGAACGTCAACATCAGAACTAGTCACCATTAAAGAATGTGGCTCAATTTTGAAGAGATATATTTTCTTCAAAGAATTTTCAACTTGATCCCTTCTGCAAGATAATACTTCCCTATAACTGTGCCTCTACATGGCAAAAGAAGTGCAAACCAAGCAGACAGCTGGAGTGAATGCAAATAGAATTTAATGGGCAAGCTTCTAATAAGCTTTATACTATACCGTGGCATTTTTATTTTTAAAAATATGTATGTAAAATAACAACTGCGAGTTAGTGGGAACAGCCTGGAATCTACAGACTGAATATCGATATATTGAGTGATGTGTGAAATTCAGAGAATCAGAATGGGGAAAAAAACCAAACCACCGAGATCTGCAAAAAGCAGCTCAAGCCAAGGAGTGCATTTTTAAGTATTACATAAGTGCAAACACTAACCAAAGAAAATTAGAAACTTTCAATAGCTTCCAAACCATTTAAACAGTAAAGTTTACAGAGTCTGGTTTATTTTGGTGGGTGATCTAGAGGGGAATTTAACTCCTGGTTCCACCTACTAGCACCACAAGCCATTACGGAGTCCAAAAGTTCGAGTTTGCTTCCAGGTCAGTGAGTTGCTAGCTCATGTCCTCTTGATAACATTTATTAGAGAAATCCAGCTCACTGACATCTGTTTCACAATAAAACCCACTAAAGCGGCCCTTGACCCTACCGTTAGATGCCAACAAACGAAATTTTAAAAAATTCAACAAACACGGAGAATAAACACCCATCACGTTCCTACAACAACTTCTCAAGTTACCCAATGGTTCTGGCAACGTTCAGACGTGCTATTCTTGCCCCTGTGAACTATGGTTTTCATTCTCAGTATTAACTTCAACAAAATTCACTTTAGATACCGTTCCACTGTTTTCAGGATTTCTTCTCATTTCACAAAACCATGAAATGCAATGGTATTCTGGCTGGAAGGCTAGCAGTCCTTCAGTCTATACTTATTGTTTCATTTATTACAAACACAAAAATTAAGGCTGGTTTTTTCACCATAATAATTAATGCAAGCAACCGTGTGGCTTATGAGTAAACCCTCCATTTAAACAATTCTTCGGATTTTCTAGAATGGCTGTACCTATTCAAAACTACAACCGATCTGTTCTTGCTACTACTAGGCTTACGCCTTTCAGGAGGTACCAGGGACCAGCACCACAGAGGTTAAACAAGACAGTCCAGACTTTACACCTTGCTCACTTCCAGTTTAATGATCTTAACTGCACCGGTTGCAACGTCTTTCTGATCCCTGTAAGACATGCACAACGCCTAGAGAGAACTTTCAGTTAAACATTTTTCTCCTTACACTTCCCTGACACTTCCCCTTCTTTCCTGCTCTTCTATTCCCTGCTCTTCAGTTCTGTTTTAATTTCAAGTCAGTTCTCATCCTCCTTTATCTGTTTGCCAAAAGGCACCTGAGAAACGAATTTGGTTGCCAACGTCCATTCAAGTCCACAGTTCTGCCACAAAAATTTCAGTCATAGCAATTTTTTAAAATCCACACTAATGAGTTTTTTTAATTGTTCCCTGAGACTGAATTATTTGAACGTGAGTGAGAACAAATTCAACTTTCTTGCCATCCCCCTTACAACCTGTTCCTGGCAACATTAACAGTGTGATGCAAGCGACATTTTTTTTTTAAGCCAAGTACTTTATTGATTATTGAAGTGACAGACAGTGCTTTTTCCTGCAGGTTGAGAAGCGTTCAAGCCTTCAGCTGTCAAACAGCGTCTCTACAGTTTATATGCAGTGTGGGTATTCCAACTGTGATACAGAGCACCCGGTTATCTCAAAGACTCCAAGACTGCCATTAGTATTTAAACAGCAAAAAATAAATGCAGTAGCAGTTTAAGCAACAGCAAATGTTTAATATACAAAAGAATATAAAAAAGCAACAGCAGCACTAGAAAAATATAAACAGAGATCTTGTAATAAAATTCCCCCAAAGCCTTAACAGCATCTAGATGAACATTACAAAACGACAAACTACAAATTACAAGGTGAACCGTTTATGAAAGCATGAGATGGAGATGCACGTCGATCCATACAGACGTCTAACGCAGCATTTTAAAGCTTTGCTTTTAATTTTGCCGCTAGAGCAACGACTTTTTATACAGTTCCAGAAAGATTAGCATTTCTGCACTGACGTTAAAACATGTGACAAGAGGGGGAAAAAAA